AAGTGCTTTATACTACATATTATTATTGAGCCAAAGCAATCCATGAAACAAATCTGCATTAAATTATTAAAAAAAAGAGAAAAAACCTCTATTACTATAACTCATGGAAAGGAGCAATGGTTTCTTAAGATTTTTAAGAAGAAAATTGGCTCACCCCATGTATTGAGTGGGTACATTTGGGTTTTAACATTAGTTTCGGTCCAAGCCAGGTTGATATTTAGGTTAGCCCTCAACCTAACCCCCTACATCTAATTTGCATCCCCAACTTTATTACAAAGAACCAAAAGGGAGTAAGAGGAAGAAAGGGATTTAATGGGGAGGGGAGATGTTACAAACATTGACTATTATAGGGATAGTGAGAGAGAGAGAGAGAGAGGTTTAAGAATGGTTTCATTAAAGAGTATACATGAATATTATGAGAGACAATAAAGACCCATGAGAGTTATAATTTTGATGACTTGTTATGTTTTTTTAATGATTTCCTTTAAAAATAAATATACACATGTGACAAAGGAGAAGAGGAGGAGGCACAAGTGAGTTTTGAGTTGAGAGAACCCCTCACCTCCCCTCTTTCCTCTTTCTATTATATATATATATCAGGAATAGGGAGGAAGGTAAGTCTCTTATAGGTATTAAGATTGCAGCTTTACTGGATTTTAATGGGTTTTCTACTTCTGATCATCAAGGTACCGACAGAATTTAGGGGGAAAGCCTCTGCTTGCTTGTTCCTATAAGGGGAAGGACTGAGAAAAGTTCCTTTGACCTTGCAGGTATCTTTTATTGATTCAAGAAGGAGTTTGCAAGCTTTTTCGTTGCTCTTAAATTCCCCGTTTATGTCCTCCTTTGCCTCTTGTTTTTTCTTAAGCTTTTTAGACTTTGTCTTTATCTTTCATATATTGCTTCAATATATATTTCAGTTTCCAGATAAGACTTCCAGTTTTATTTTAAGAATTCTGCTTAAAAAGTCACCATGACTTTGACCACACTAATAACCAACGATTTGTAAAATAATTCATTGTTGTTCAGGAAAACCATTGGAATTAGAATTACCAATTAAGTATAAAAAATATTGTTAAAAAAAAAGGCAAAACAAAAGAGATCATGAAGATTTTACCTGAATGATTACATCTGGTTGCAGCCAAGCCATGGTAGGATCTGAGAGAAGAGCATGATCCAGATAATCCATGTATAGAAAATTCTTTTCAATTTCAGGAAACGAAGTCAAAAGTTCTCTCAGACGAAGACCAGACAAAATGTCGGGTACAACTGGCCAGAAAAGGTGTTTGGCCAAGAGAAGAGCAGCCCACATCTCATCTTCTGTGTTGATAGCGCCAATTATCAAAAGCCCCTTGTTAGCACATTTAATTACTTCTAGAACCTCTGCAAGATCAGCACTAATGTTGCATGCATGATTGCGTTTCATAGTGATGTACTGAGTAAATGGTTCTATTCTTGACATCCATGGATCTAGTCCTTTCAAACAGCTTTGTGCCCAATCTCTTGGACTATCTTCCAAGGGCTCCCTAAAGGGACAATTAATATGTACAGGACCCTGTGGTGTTTGGGTTGCCCAATGAACAGCAGAGTCAATTGTTGTAAGTACCATCCTTGCAGGAATATGATCAGTAGGTGGGGGGAGACTGAAGAAAAACCTAACAAATGAGCCAAAATGATTGACCTGAATTATGAAGACATGAAGATATGTAAATAATTGAGTACGCATCATATATACACAACTGTGCAAAGAAGATTTCTTTTATCGGTAACAAGAAACTGAATTAAGAGAGGGTTAAAATTTTAAAATATACAAGTTAGTGGAAAAATAAAAGTTAACATAAACAAAAAAAATAAAAACTCCAACCACAAAAACAATAGTGCTGACAATGATGATAGGGCCAGGCCTGTCAATGGGCCAGTTCTACCCAAGGTTCAAAAAATCGTTGCGTATTGTATCGGGCCCTTCCCGATAGGCCCCTACAGGGGTTGTATCGGGTCAGGGCCTGGTTCAGAGGGTATCTGGGACTTAAACCAGCCCCTCTCCCTCTGAACCAAAATCGAAAAAAAAATAAGTTAAATAAAAAGGACCAATACAGGCCGATATGCCCTACTGGCGTATCGGCCAATATCGATACTTTGAACCTTGGTTCTACCCAACCAACCAAACTGAACTAAATCAATTATATTGGTTCTGGTTCTATGATTTTGTCCCAATTAATAATTGGGTCAGTTGTGGTTTTCTTGTTCCAAACTGATTCAGACCTGAACAAATTATTTTCTTAATGATATATAAAGGTTCCCTAGCTTTGTTGTAATTTTTATTAGAATTTTATGTCTAAAATGGTAAATTTGATAGATAATCTATAAGATCATTTTAGTTAAAAACGCTTGATTTATTAACATATAACTCATTTACTATTTTATTGTCATTTTTATTAAGATTAAAGCATCAAAAATAAAGTTTCAAGTTATTATTTATATAAATAATTATAGCTGTCAATATAATCGGGTCTATAAGGTCAGGCCCGACTACCCAATTATTAATCAGGGCAATTCTGGATTTAAGATTTTGTCTCAATTAGTAATCGGTTCAGGACTGGGACACCCTGTCCCAACCTGTTGACAGCACTAGATAGGGCTGTAAATGTGTGTGAAGACCTAGCCACCACCGACTGTTTCTTGCTCCTCCAAGAAACCAGATTTCCAACAACCATAATACAACACCCAGATGTAGAGCTCCTATAATCAATACATCCTGCCCAGTCTGCATCTATATATGCTTCCAGTTTCTTGTGACCATTCTTTGCAAAAAGGACACCTTTTCCTAGTGTACCCTTCGAGTAACATAAAACTCTATGTGCATCTCTAAGGCCATGCATAAACTGGATAAGGGCACTAACAATATAAGAAATGTTAGGGTGAGTCATGCATAAGTACAACTTCCCAAGCAACCTCTGAAACACTCCCCTATCCTCAAGTAACTCTCCATTAGAAGTGAGAGCTAACGATTCAAACCATTAGATGTGGTAGCAAGTTTTACCCCAAGTTTGCCTATTTCAGTGAGCAAGTCAAGCACATACTTATGTTGGGAGATGAAGATGCCATCTTTGGACCTAACAACTTCAATTCCCAAGAAAGATCTCAATTCTCCCAAATCTTTAATTTCAAATTCAGCATTAAGTGCTTGAGGCTATCAATCTCTTGCACATCATCACCAGTAACTACAATGTCATCCGCATAGACAATTAAGAGAATAACCTGTGCACCTCTCCTCTTCACAAAGAGGGTATGATTTGACTGTGTCTATACATATCCAAAGTGAACAAGGGCATCCATAAACCTCTCAGACCAAGCCCTCGATGATTGCTTAAGGCCATAGAGTGACTTCTTCAGTTTACATACCTTACCCTGCATTTCGTTCCCATACATCCTAAGAGGAAGAGACATATACATTTCTTCGTGCAACTCCTCATTCAAAAAGGTATTTGTTGTTAGGGTTATTCATTTGTTTTTTTATTTGTTGTGTGCTGTCAGCCTAGGATGCTGTCAGCTTGTTCTTTTCTTTCTTTTTTAATTAGTTATTATTAGGGTGTGCCGCCAGGGGTATAAATGTAATCTTCTATCTTTTTTATGTTAAGTTAATATAAATAAGAAGCTGGGCGCCACCAGCAACACTTTTTGACTCTCAATCAGAACTCTTCCTCTTTCCTTCACTTCTCTTCTCTGTTCTCTTCTCTCCTTTCTCTTCTCTCTCTCTCCAAGAAAGAAAACATGGTATCAGAGCGCAATTCTGGGCTATAGGGATCCTTTCTCTCATCTGAATCAAATCCCTTCCCGGTTTTCTCTTGATCCCTTGGACGTTGAAGACAAGAAACCTTAATCAAACTGGTCAGACACTTGTTACTGCTTCTTTTGGGTTCTTCCTTGGTTGTAGCACCAAGGTAACCCTAGTAGGAGAGGGCCAATGCTGTGATGGCCTTTCTTTTCTATGGTTGATGCTGTGAAGACCTCTTTTTCTGGGTTTGCACCTTCGTACAAGTGCTGGACAGGGGCGTGTGGTCCCCTTTTTCTTTGGTCGATGCTGTGAAGGTCACTTTTCTGTGCTTGCACCTTCGTACAGGTGCTGGAAAGGGTGTGTGGTCCCCTTTTTGTCACAGGTATGTGTTGTTGTTGGTTGGTATGGCTTTTTATTAATGGTCGAACTATTACTGGACTGTTTTAATGGCCAGACTGTTGCTGGACTGATTTCAGCAGTGCTTTCCTCATTTCAGAAGTAAAGTTTTGTTCGTGTTTAGTATTCTGATTGTGACTGTTTGCAAGAGCTAGGCCTTGTTGCACCTACTACTACCCCTGCTCCTACTTTGGATGACCTTGACATTCCTATTGCTCAAAGAAAGGGAGTCAGGTCATGCACTACCAAACACCCCATTACCCAATATGTCTCCTATGATCACATTTCCCCCTCTTATTGAGCCTTCCTATCTATAGTTGATTGCATCCCTATACCCAGAAATGTTCTAGAGGCCTTAAAATACCCTGAATGGATAAATTCTATGAAGGAGGAGATTAATGCCCTCCATAAAAATCAAACTTGGGAGTTGGTGGATCTTCCAAGGGGGAAAGACCCAATGGGGTGTAAAAGGTTCTTACAGTTAAACACAAAGCGGACGAGCCAGTTGATAAGTACAAAGCAAGATTAGTAGCAAAAGGGTACACTCAAGTCTACGGGGTTGACTACGATGAGACGTTTGCTCTAGTAGCTAAGATGAACTCAATTCGAGTTCTTCTATCATTGGCTGCCAACCTTAATTGGGAATTGCATTAACTGGACATAAAGAATGCCTTTTTAAATGATGACCTAGAGGAGGAGGTGTACATGGTTCAACCCCCTGGATTTTGTGCCAAAGGAAGTGAAAATAAGGTGTGCAAGCTGAGAAAGTCTCTTTATGGTTTAAAACAATCTCCCAGGGCTTGGTTTGATAAGTTTCATATGGCAGTCCAGCAAGTAGGATTCAAGCAATGTCAGTCTAATCACACTCTCTTTGTGAAGAGATGTCAGGAACAGATTGTTGTGTTGATAGTGTATGTGGATGATATCATCATTACAGGAAATTGGAGCTCAGAAATACAAAAGTAGAAACAATTCCTTGCATCTCAATTTGAAGTGAAAAATCTGGGTCCACAAAAGTACTTTATTGGAATTAAAGTTGCCCGCTCAAAAAAGGGCATCTTCATTTCTAAGAGGAAGTACACTCTTGATCTGTTACAAGACATAGGCAAGTTAGGTGCAAGGCCAGCAAATACTCCCATGGATGTTGATCATTAATTGGGAGATTGTGATGGTGAACCTCTGGAAGATGTGAAACAGTTCCAAAGGTTAGTGGTAAAGTTGATTTATTTGTCCATGACACGTCCAGACATTGCTTATTCAATTGGGGTCCTGAGCCAATTCATGCATTCTCCTAAGAAACCACACATGGAGGCAGCAGAGAGGGTTCTTAGGTACTTAAAAAAGTATCCAGGAACAGGTCTACTATTCAGTAAACATAATCATCTAAAGGTGGAAGTCTATACAGATGCTGATTGGGCAGGTGTTGTGGATGATAGAAAGTCCACAAGTGGGTACTGCACATTTATGGAAGGAAACCTTAGTGACATGGAAAAGCAAGAAACAAAGTGTAGTAGCAAGTTCAAGTGCTGAAGCGGAGTATAAGGCTATGGCACATGGGGTGGCTGAAGTACTTTGGATAAAAAACCTTCTAGGGGAGCTTGGAGTTATTGTTCATAATCCTATGTCCCTTTACTGTGACAACAAGGCAGCCATAAACATTGCCAGCAATCCTGTCCTACACAAGAGGACCAAGCACATTGAAGTGGACAAACACTTCATAAGGAAAAAATTGAAGAAAGGGGAAATTTGCACTCCTTATGTCAACTCCAAGGAGCAACTTGCTGATGTCCTCACAAAAGGGCTTCCATACTCGCGGCACAATGAGTTATGTGACAAGTTGGGCATGATGGACATATTCAGCCCAACTTGAGGGGGAGTGTTGTTAAAGTTATTAATTTGTTTTTTTATTTGTTGTTAGTGTTTTGTCAGCTTGTTCTTTTCTTTCTTTTTTAATTAGTCATTATTAGGGTGTGCCGCCAAGGGTATAAATGTAATCTTCTATCCTTTTATGTTAAGTTAATATAAATAAGAAGTTGGGCGCCGCCAGCAACACCTTTTTACTCTCAATCAGATCTCTTCCTCTTTCCTTCTCTTCTCGTCTCTTCTCTCCTCTCTCTTCTCTCTCTCTCCAAGAAAGAAAACAGTATTCTTTACACCAAACTAATAGAGCAGCCAATCAGAATTAGCTACCAAAGATAACAAGACTCTCACAAAAGTCATCTTAGCAATAGGGGCAATGTCTCCAAGTAGTCTATCCCATACGGGTGTGTATACCCCTTAGCAACTAATCAAAACTTAAACCTTTCAATAGAGCCAACTATGTCATATTTTATGGTGTAGACCATTTTGCACCCAACAAGCTCCTTCCCCTCAAATAACTCAACCACATCCCAAGTATCATTCTTATGCAATGCCCCTTATCTTAGTTTTCATAGAATCCCTCCATTCTAGTTTTGATAATGCTTTTGATATAGGCTTAGGTATGGTTGAGAAAAACAGATGCTAAAAAGGAATAATATGATAGGGAGAACAATCCATAAGAGAGGTGCTTCGAGATGCAATGTGCAATGCACTTTCTCTTATCATTTCTTATGGCAATGAATATATCAAGGTCAGTGAAAGGGGGCCACAAAGGTAAGGTCTCAACACCTACCATCTCTCCGGAAATTGGAAGTGTGGGAGGTTCAACTATAGAAGTGGCAACAACACGCTCATTCCTAAACCTTTGCAACTAGGCCTTTGGTTCAAACTTGTGTCTTTGGGAACCTGGGAAATGGGCATAACAAATGCAACCAAAGATATGAAGAGGAAGAGAAAAAAAAAATATCTTGTTTGGAAACAACAAGCTAAAGGGAGACTTGAAACCCAAGACTCTGAATGGCATACGGTTGATAAGATAATTTGTTCCAATAACAGCATCCCCCCTAGAATTCGATAGGAACATGTAAGGCAAACAAAAGGCTTCTAGCTACTTACACAATATGATGTTTTTTTTTCCATTCAGCAACTCTTTTTTTGTTATGGAGTACGTACACAAGAGCTTTGGTGAATAACCCCAAAATCATCAAGATAAGAAAAAAGACTGTTCTCAAAATATTCTTTTGCATTAGCTGACCAAAGTATCTTGATACGAGTATCAAATTGGGTAAGAACAATTTCATGAAATTGTTTCACAATCTTTGGGAATTCATCACATGAACGCACCAAATATATCCAAGTGTACTGAGCAAAATCATCAATGAAAAAAATAAAATAGTGATAGCCACCCATGTAAGGTAAATGGTAGGGCTCCTACACATTAGAGTGGTGTAGCGGAAGTGTGGTGGACTCATAACCCACAAATCCCATGATCAGACCCTAGCTCTGATACCAAGAAGAAAACTATCCAACAACTAATTCCTTTGTTTAATCAGTAAAAACAACAAAAGAAAAGAATGAGAAAAAGAGAAGAAAGAAAAAGAAGAAGAAAAAGGAGAAGGAGAAGAGTCAATCATACTCTCTCTCCAGCCCAAACTTTTATTAAATCAAAGATTAGAAGTAATTACATAAATACCTTTGCACAAGGCGGCTGCTTATAAACTTCAAGAAAAAAAGGTTAACAGACCCATGAAACTAAAGGCCCGCCATTAACACAAAAAATAATAAACACAGAGTTGAACTAAACTAAGGCCCATCCTGCACAACATTTCTACATAATAATATAATCAACTTTTACCAAAAAAAATTAAAAAAATAAAAAGAACTCCTTGCAATGTGTTCGGAATAGTTTCTGTTACAGAAAATGTTTATTAATAAGTTGAAATTTTCAAATGATAAATATCGTTTGGAGAAAATACCAATACAGGGTGGGGTACAGAGCTGATTTGAACCCATGAGTGAACACATGACAGATCCAGAGTACCGCTATCTGTTGGGTGACTTGGATCAGCCACATCTTCCTTGCACATGACATGGCAGAGATAGAGTATGTCATGTAGAGAAGCTCTCCACTGGATCCAATTAGGAAACCTTTTTCCAAACTTGAAATGACATAACCTCAATCTGAGGTCAGACTACCAACAAGATATCTACTAATTTATAGAAGTGAAGAAGTTTGGAGATACTAGCAAATAAGACAGTCTAGTAACAAACCTGGTTGATTGCCTGGTTTGCCCCAGCATTTTGCAGTTCTGGAGGCCGATCAGCTGTGAGCAGTAAAAGTGGTATGGAATCTTGACTAGCTTCAACAACCTGCGGAGTAGCCAAAAACAATGTAAAATATTGATTCAAGACATGACAGAAGTTGAGAATTATGTGCAGAGATAGCTGTTATTTGTTTTAGAAGTCATTTTTTACAATCAATAAGAAGAATATTAAAAAAGCAATACAAGATGGCAATTGATAAACCACTTCCACAAACCAAAAACAAACAAGAACATCTAGACAACAAGTGTAAATCAACTAAATATTATAAACATCAATATCAAGGTCAAAGACAGAGAAGAAGTTAAAAACCAAATTCAGATTTGGTAAAATCTTCAAACTCTGGAAGTCTCATCAACCGCTCCATGATCATTTAACTAATATCCACACATATTATTCTGTTATCACTTCTTTTACATTCAAAGGTTCTTCCATTTCTTTTTGTCCAATTCCTCAACAAACAACAAAAGGAATTGTGCTCTAAAGAAATTTAGTCTTCTTATTTCCAGAAAAAGAGGGTCAAAGAGAAAAGATTAGGATGAGAAGAGCTCAATGACTCTTCCAAGACAAGAGCAAAGAAGAAAAATGAAACAAACTTAACAACTCTACAATGAATAAACAAATTCCTTACATCTTCCTCATATTTCTGACACACGAAACACAATAATGTTATTCAGAACACCCCATTTTCAAGCAGTCAACCATTAGAATACCATCAAGAGACAGCAGCCAAGCAAACACCTGCATTGTTGGAGGAAATAGATTGTCCATTCCCCTTTTTAGGTTTGAATGCTCCACCTGGTTCCTCACTATAGCATAATCAGTAATGCTTCATCTGTTTGGAAGTTTTTCTGCTTTGGTTTTCGGGATAGCATAGTCAAATCTATTTCATTGGAGGTTGTTATTTCTTAAAAGTCCAACAACAGTATTGGATCTAGATTCTAGAGGACAAATCTTGTGGAAAGCTATGTCTTATTTTCTGTTTTGGAGTATTCAGTTTGCATGAGGAAGGATTATCCCCCCCCCCCTTCACATTGTGCTAATTGTGGGTATCATGTTTAAAAAATTGCAAAAATATATTAAAATGAAGAAAATCTGAAAACTATAAAAGTATACCATTTTGGCAATGTAAAAGTACTTTAGTAGAAGTGCTTTTATAAAAGTACTTTCGTAGAAGCAATGTTTTAAAAACTGACCTAGAGGCTGAACCGTTTTTGCCTTTTGGTCGCAGGTCGCTGGTTCGATTGGCCGGGTCGAACGGTTCAGACCATGTTTTATATATATAATATATATACATATATATTAGCAATAAATAATGCATAGATATGTTTTATATATGTTATATGTATTATTTTATATTTAATTTGTGTTTTTTAATTCAGTTTTTATTTTTCTATTTATAAAAAAGATTAAAAATTGCAATTTGAGGCCAAAAAATGGATTTTTTCGTGAAAATAGCAGGGCAAGGCGCCTATGGCCCCTTGAGATGCATAGATCTCGAAAAGTTACCCAAAATGAAAAAAGAAATCACCCCTATCGGACATCAGAGTGCAAATTTAAGGCCTCCGAAAATTTGCATCTATTAAAGTGTGCCGAATAGGGGTAGTTTAGTCTTCTTATGTTTGTTAAGTAGCTCGCTTATGTAGCAATGTTATTAGAGTTACTCTGCCCCACACTTAAGTAAGGGCTTTTTTGTCTTTGTAAAGATTATTAGAGTCTAATATAGATTAAGGGGGTCGACTGTATGGGAAACCCATCAGATTTCGACAGACCCTTCTTCTTCTTCTTCTCTTCTTCTTCTTCTCTTTCTGGTTCGGACTACTGTAGCACCAGTCGAAACAGCATGCATTGAGTGTACAACCCATGACTCGATCACTAGGTCGAATGGGTCAATGGTTGAACCTTTTATATTTAATTTGTGCTTTTTAATTCAGTTTTTTATTTTTTTATAAAAAATATTAAAAATTGCAATTTGGAGCCAAAAAATGGATTTTTTCGCGAAAATACAAGGGCAAGGCGCCTATTGCCCCTTGGGATGCATAGATCTCGAAAAGTTACCAAAAAAAAATCACCCCTATCGGACATCGGAGAGCAAAGTTAAGACTTTCGAAAGTTTGCATGCATTGAGTGTACAATCCGCGACTTGGTCACTAGGTCGAACGGGTCAACGGTCGAACCGGCTAGGTTGAACAATTCTTGACCAAGTCAATGGTTTTTTACCATCTAGCGGGTCTTGACTACATCGGACCCGGAATCATGGTCGGGTGACAATTTGATCCGTTAAACTGACCGAGTCAACAATGGGTTGAAATATTTCGTAGAAGTGCTTTTATAAAAGTACTTCCATAAAAGTGCTTTTATAAAGTACTTTCATAAAAGTGCTTTCATAGTAGTGCTTTTATAAAAGTACTTCCACAAGTTCTTTTGTAAAAGTGTTTTCATAAAAGTGCTTTCATGTAAAAGTACTTTTATAGAAGTGCTTTCATAAAAGTACTTTTGTAAAAGTGCTTTTATTAAAGTGCTTTCGTAAAAGTACTTTTATAAGAGTGCTTTCATAAAAGTACTTTTGTNCCATCAGATTTCGACAGACCCTTCTTCTTCTTCTTCTCTTCTTCTTCTTCTTCTTCTCTTTCTAGTTCGGACTATTGTAGCACCAGTCAAAACATGGTATCAGAGCCATGCTCCTGACCTACTTCAGTTGGTAAAGCGCCTCAGCAGTGTTCGTGACTCTTCTCCTTCGTTTCTGGTCAGTCAATGGAGAGAACTGGTTCGCCCTAGGTCAGAAACATCATAGCTCGTCTCTCTCTGCTGCGCATAACCTACTTCAGCAAGGAAAGTGACTTCAGCAGTGAATGGTTGGTTGATATTCTCAAAGGAAGGTCGGTTCTCTCTTCTTCTAGTGTTACTTATATTTCTGGGTAGAAACCCTACAAGAAGCTATTAGTATTGATTAGAACCTAGAGAACTAGGTTCATTTTTGCCCTAGAAAGGGTTGTGTGTGCAGTAGCCGAATGGTGTAGAACTGCTGTGAGTTGTTGAATGTAGGGCTGCTGTGAGTCGCCGAGTGGTGTAAGGTGGAATGCAGTGACCTTGCCGAGCTCTTTGTGGTTGTGTCTGAACTGGGTGTAGCAGTTTTGACTGTGTTATGGTGCTTGTGATGCACATTATTTTTATTGAGTGGTTGTAAAAAGGCCTATTTGTGATTAGTGAGTGGTAATTTGATGCTTATGTGGGTCGTAGGTGTGTGAAGTCAGCAGTAGTGTGAATAAGAACAAGTGTGTGCTCCCACTGTTGTGTTTAGGGGCTGCTACAGTAGGTGCTGAAGTATCAAACTGTGAACAACATCAATCAGCTTGTAGCTGAGAAGTAAGGTTAGAGGCAACTGTGAAAGAGTACAATGGCAGCAATAGGAGATGGGTACAATGACCTCAATTAAGCTGAATGGAAGTTTTTCTCAAGGCAAAGAAGAAAGTAAAGCATGTAAGAGATGAGAAGCCACTGGTTGACTCTCCAGGATTTGATGATTGGGAACAAGAAGATGCTCAAATCATGACTTGGCTGTAGAATAGTATGGAGCCCAAAATTAGTGCCAACTTCATATTCCTTGATACGGCTAAGGATATATGGGAGCATGCTAAGAAGCTATATTCTRGACAAGATAACACAACAAGAGTATATCAGCTTTATCAGGAGTACTTTGATTTACAACAAGGAACCAAAACACTAGAAGAGTACTATGCCTGCATGAAGAATA